ACAGGTGTGACAATCTGCCCAAACCAGATGAAGCAGAGAGACATGCCACTATGAGAGCAGCTAACAGCGCTCCCATACACCGTGTCTGCTTGGGCCCACCTTAAGAAAAAAGCAAAATATCAAAGAAATGTTTTTCTCATCCTACAGCTCAGGACCTGGCCGTCCTAGATGGGGCCTAGTCTAGCCCAACTTTTTCAAGATATAATGAAAGTGATAGTATAAGTTATTTTGTTCGGCTTTGTCAATTAACCTGGTCTAAGATCCTGAATACCTAACACAGCTCTGACAGCCCCGTGTCCACACGGGCACGCGTTGATGCAGCACCTCCTAGAGCTGGGTCTGGAGAACCTTCCTGCCATCAACCAAAGCCCCACACCAAGTAAGCGTTGCCGCTCTCTGCACAGAGCAGCCAACTAATAAAAGGTGAGTAACAATGCAGTCTTGTTAGAAATACCTTTTTTTTCCCATCCATTGGCAATTTCCTGAGGTCCAGCACAAATGGTGATGGCACAAGAGAAGCATTCTTCACACGCTTCTTGTTTTCTAGGGCAGCTCTGTCCTACTCTCAAAGTTGGAGAATTGCCCTGAAAGATAGTTGGCCTGGAATCTTTTGGCTTCAGCTATAAGAAACAATCTGCCCAAATGATATTTTATCTGAGACATAAATGTGACTAAAATATCACCTCTAGACCCGTTGAGTCTTCACAGAGCATACAGTCATGCTGTACTTGGAACAGGAGTAAGCATTTTATAATAAAAAGTGATTAAAAGTCATATGCTGCTACTGCCTTTCCATATAAAGAAATCAAAGCTTATAAAGATTTAAAAAAAAAAAAACTCCACTAGAGCCACTAAGCAACTCTGTTGTGACACTGAATCTAGAATTTCCATCCCTACCTCAATACCCAGAGCGGTGGGACTGCAACTGTCTTTAGCAGTTAGGAAACTCTGGGTCTTGGGTGGAACATGTCCTACCACCCAGAACATTCCATCTTGCATTGCTTCCTTTGAATGGAATTCCTCTCAAGTTTGGGCCAATGCTCTGGTAGTCTCAGGCCATTTGGAGCCTTTCTTCTACATTTTATTTCCTAAAATTTCATCTCACAGGATCTTTGAAGTTTAAATGAAGTAACTGGTAAATCCTTATCTACCTATCATCTACCCATATTCTCGGTACCAATCAATGTAGATATTCATTTCTTTGACAAAGATTTACAAAATACTATTTTCTTCAGACTGTGCTAGGCACTGGATTTTTTTTTTAAGATAGTATTTATTTATTTAGGAGAGAGAGAGAGAGATCACAGAGAAAGAGGGAGAAGCAGACTCCCCACTGAACAGGGAGCCCGATGCAGGACTCAATCCTGGGACCCAAATATCAAGACCTGAGCTGAAGGCAGACGCTCAACTGGCTGAGACAACCAGGGGCCCCTGAGCACTGGATTTAAAGAGTGCAAGACAAAAACAAAAACCCTGAGGCAGGAAAGTACTTGATTGCTTCTAGAAACCAGAAGGCCAGTGTTGTATCTCTGAACCATTATGTGCATATATGTGAGTGTTTGTGTGTGTGTGCGTGTGTAGAGACAGAAAAAGGCAAATCCTGATAGCTTTTTAGACTCATTTTGTAATTTAGCTGAGAGCTGTCCATACAGTTCATCCCAGCTGACCCTCCTTTTTCTTAAAAGGCATTATTGCTGGAGTGCGTTGCCATTGTCCCAGTCAAATGGACGCCCTTGCCATCCTGCTTTTCAATATGAAGAGCAGGAGTCAGTAAACTATGACCAATGGAACAAATCTCGCCTGCTGCCTGTTTTTGTATGGCCAGTGAACTAAGAATTTTTATGTTTTTAACTTGAATTTTAAAATCAAAATAAGAAAAACATTCTGTAACGCATGAAAGTTATATGAAATTCAAATTTCAGTGGACACAGATGACAGTTTATTGGAACACAGCCATGTGCATTCTTCTAGGTATTGTCTGTAGTTAACTTTCACACAACAGCAAAGGTGAGCAGTTGTGACAGAGACGACATGGCCTCCAAGCCAATTTTTTTCAAGATAGATAGATTGATTGATTGATTGATTGGAGAGAGAGAACACAGAGGGAGAGGGAGAAGCAGGCTCCATCCCAGGACTGCAGGATCCTGGCCTGAGCTGAAGACAGACACTTAACCGAATGAGCCACCCAGGTGCCCTGGCAAGCCAAAATTTTTAAAAGAAAATTTACTGACCCTTGGCATAAAACATTACAGAAATGGATCCATCTTTACTGAAATGCTGGCTAGTGTGGGTATAACCCAAATACGTGCACCTCCCAGGGAGGTGAGCACAGGGAGGGGCACATTTTGCAGCCCCTCTGCCTGTTGAACCCTATTTTATATTTGAAGTCCTTATGTTAGTGAAGGGGTGTGTGCGCCTCCTTTGCACAACAGTGTATGTTTCGGGGGGGGGGATGTGTGTACAAGGGACAAAGTACAGAGAAAGTGTGTATATGTGTGTGTGTTTGACTCACAGCATCATGAGATGAGGTTGGAGATGTTAAGCAGAGTCAAATCAAAGACCCTGGTTTGAAAAAAAAATAACATTAATTAATTAATTAATTAATTAATAATAAAAAGACCCTGGTTTGGAGATCTTACTTTACGTGCTTTGGGAAATTAATTGAAGTCTGTGTGCAAGAAAAAGGACTGATCTGATTTTGCTTTTTTAAACAGTCCCTCTGGCTGTGGCATGGATGGCAGGCTGTAGAGGGCAAGGGTAGAAGCAGGAAGCGGGACAGCATCACGGCGGTCCAGCAGAGAAAGAAAGCAGCTTGAACTACAGAGAACTGGGGTGAGCCTGAGACTTATTCTGGAAACAAATGAACAGAAATTGCTGATGAATTAGATGTGAGGGTAAAAGAAAGGGAAGAAATACTACACTGAAATAAGCTCTGCCCGGGGGGGGGGGGGGTGAAGAGTTCTTAGGCATTTAATTCAAGGACCAATTATTAGATTGTTGAGCAGATGCTTTTTCCTAAAGTGAAATTTCAGAAATAGAGCAAAACAACTCTGGTCAAAAATACTAATCACTATTTGTTATCAATTACTATTAGTAGCTATTGTTTTTTATCAAATTCAGTTACCTTCCTCTAAATTGGTACTAGACTTATAGACTTAATCTTTTTTTTTTTAATCTATCAAGGACCTTCACCCCTAGCAGAATGCTTTCTGTGTGTCCCTGTTTTCATCCTTTACCGATGAGTGGCCGCCTGTGACTACAGTGCAACCTTGAAAACACAGCGCAGGGGACACTTCAGAAAAGGCAAAGTGCTTAGTGTCCTCAGTCATGAGTGAAGCTGGGACACAGCGACTTTATTTATTTGGGGGGGGGGGTGAAAGAAAAAAAAAACATCCAAAATTTATTCTCCAACAAGACAGCATCAGCAGGTAAAAACTACAGGGGTTACACTCTCTTTTGTCTGCTTCCAACTCCCCTTCTTAAATGATCCCTCTGTAATCTCAGAAATTTTTGGAGACAAATGAATTTAAAGGCAGAAAAGGAAAAGACTTCTAGGAAATGGAAGTTCTTGTGCGTGAATCTAGCAGAGTCCATTAAACCCCATTTCAATTTATACATGTTAAATAGAGTCGGGTAGGTCTGTGGACATTTTATCAGCACCAAAAATCCCCCTGCCATCAGAATCAGAAGATCCTGAGTTTAAAATGACCCAGAGAAGGTCTTAAAAAATATCTATTTATTAGGGCACCTGGGTGGCTCAGTGGTTGAGCGTCTGCCTTCGGTTCAGGTCATGATCCCCGAGTCCTGGGATCGAGTCCCACATCAGGCTCCCCACAGGGAGCCTGCTTCTCCCTTTGCTTGTGTCTCTGCCTCTGTGTGTCTCTCATGAATAAATAAATAGACATCTTTCTAAAAATAATAAGTATTTACTGTGTTATAACTGCCCTAGTCTCATCCCTCTCCCAGCACCTGCACACACACAAATTGTATTCTTACTCAGTCCCAACTCTCTAAGCGCCCACACCAGTACCCAAGAAGGAGCGTGTGCTGGTTCTTTTACTCTTGGTCCTATAGTTTCCTCAGAACTTGATGACTCACAGTAAGAAATTCTTAGAAAAAAATAAAAATAAATAAAAATAAATAAAAAGAAAAAAAAGAAATTCTTAGAAAATTATTAGGAGTAGTAAGAAATTATTATTCCTTGTGCCTAATTTCAAAAAGCAAAATATGGATTTAATATAAAAGCAGGGGTGGGGGACACAGATTCTCTGTTGCTCAACCACTTTGTCTTGAGGTCATCCTAAGTAATTACTGAGGAATGGAATAAGATTTTAGCTTTGCATCCCCTACAAATCACCATTACTTAGAATTCCATGTTATTAATAATATCCATAGTTTGCATTATTAGACTAGAATTATATCTACAATAGTAGACTGGGAAAATTCATATCTCTTTTTCAGGTAAACACAGACCAGTTTCAACGTGGCCATTGACAATTTCCTCACATTGGGCAACTGTGGATGGCTGTCTATAATTGCTCTTTTAACACAACAGGAACTAAGGCTAATTCCCTCCAGCTGGCTTGAGTGTTTTTTACACAAGAAATTGGTATATAATATTAAATTAATAATTTAATCATTTAGTTTTAAATAAGGCCAGTTTCAAAAATCATGTAAAAGAAGTCATTCAAAAACTTCCACGCTTGTGCTACATAACTAGTTTCTCAGTTTCTGCCACAAATGCAATGATGTCACCTCTTTAAAAATAGAAAAAAACTCCATTTTGTAAGAATAGGTAGGTAGGTAGACAGAAACTCTATTAAATATAAAGTCTAATATAATCTTAAAACACCTCTACAACACTCTCCTTCAAGATTGTATCAATTCTAACCAAAGTTATCTTGAGGCCACAGTGAAAATGTCGATGAGAGTAAAAAGCAACCCAGTTCAGTACTTGTTTCAAAGAAAAAAATTCTAACTATTAACATATAGGACTTTATTTTCTTTCCCAGGATGGTTTAAATATAACCTGGGCCCCCAGCTGTCCTTACACTGCCATCCAATAATGTAATCATCTGTTCACGCTCCCAGACCCATGAAAGTTTCCAGCACCACCAACACGTCCAGCACCATCTCCGGCTTCATCCTCCTGGGCTTCCCTTGCTCCAGGGAGGGGCAGCTCCTCCTCTTTGGGCTCTTCTCCGTTCTCTACCTCCTCACCCTCATGGGCAATGGGTCTATCATCTGTGCGGTGCGCTGGGACCAGAGACTCCACACTCCCATGTACATCCTGCTCGCCAACTTCTCCTTCCTAGAGATCTGGTACGTCACCTCCACTGTCCCCAACATGCTGGCCAACTTCCTCTCTGACACCAAAGTCATCTCCTTCTCCGGGTGCTTTCTCCAGTTCTACTTTTTCTTCTCCTTGGGTTCTACAGAATGTTTTTTCTTGGCTATTATGGCATTCGATCGGTACCTTGCCATCTGCCGGCCTCTACACTACCCAACCATTATGACAGGACGTCTCTGTGCCAGTCTTGTGGTCAGTTGCTGGGTACTTGGTTTCTTCTGGTTCTTGATTCCCATCATCATCATCTCCCAAATGTCCTTCTGTGGATCCAGGATCATTGACCACTTCCTATGTGATCCAGGTCCTCTTCTAGCGCTCACTTGCAAAAAAGCTCCTGTGGTAGAGCTTGTCTTCTCCACTCTAAGTCCTCTGCCCCTCATTATTCCCTTTCTCTTCATCATGGGATCCTACACTCTGGTCCTAAGAGCAGTCCTGAAAGTCCCTTCCGCAGCTGGACGAAGAAAGGCTTTCTCCACCTGTGGGTCTCATCTGGCCGTGGTTTCACTGTTCTATGGCTCAGTCCTCGTCATGTATGGGAGCCCAACATCTGAGCATGAAGCTGGAACACAGAAGATCGTCACTCTGTTTTATTCTGTAGTGACCCCACTCCTTAATCCTGTGATATACAGTCTTCGGAACAAAGATATGAAGCATGCCCTGAAGAAACTTCTGGGAATATAAAAAGTGTTCATCAATAAGGCTCTTGGGAAATTTGAGCCCAATATTATATTTAACTTATTTATAAAATTGTATTTAATTTATTTTCAGGTTAAAAAAACTAGTTTTTTTATTTATTTGAATATAGTTGACATACAATATTACAGTAGTTCGGGGTATATAATTTAGCAATTTGACAAGTTTATACGTTATGCTATGGTCATCACAAGTGCAGCTATCAAAAAAAAAATTTAAAAAGAAACAAGTGTAGCTATCATCTGTGTCATTATATCACTATTACACCGTCATTGATTGTATTCCTCATGCTCTGGCTTTTTATTCCTGCAATTTACTCCCCGCATAAGGGAAGGTCTGTATCTCCCTCGCATTTTCATTCATTTTGTCCAACCCCATCCTCCTCCCCACTGGCAACCATTAGATTATTCTGCATATTTATAAGTTTAATTCTGCTTTTTCTCTATTCATGCTTTAAAACACTATTTAAAAAAATAAAATAAAATAAAATACTATTTGTGAGTGGGATCATATGGTGTTTTATCTTTCTCTGACTTATTTCACTTACCAAAATACCCTCGTGCTCGCTTTGGCAGTACATACACTTACCAAAATACCTTCTATCTCCATCCATGTTGTCTCCAATGGCAAGATCCCACCCTTTTGCGGCCGTGTAATATTTATTCCATTGTGCATATTTCCTTAGCCACTTGTCTGTTAATGGTTACTTAGGTTGCTCCATGTCTTGGCTGTTATAAATAATGCAGCAATAAACATAGGGATGTGTATATCATTTTGAGTTGGTGTTTTCATTTCCCCTGGTTAAATATCCAAGAGTGGGATTACTAGATCATATGGTATTTCTATTGTTAATTTTTTGAGGAACCTCCATACTGTTTCCCATGGTGGCTGCACCAGTTTGCATCCCTGCCAACTGTGCATGAGGGATTTTCTTCACATCCTTGCCAACAACACTCATCGTTTCTTGTGTTATTTATCGTAGCCATTCGGACAGATGTGAGGTGACATCATTGTGGTTTTGATTTGCATTGTCCCTGATAATTAGAGATGTTGAACATCAAAAAAAAAAACTAGTTTTTTTCAATAATTATTCATCCTTATTCTGACCAAAAACCTCGAGCACCTATAAGCATGTATCTGCTGTTTACTTCTTCCCTTGGCTCTTGATCATTTCTCCTGTTTATTAGCATGCAATTTTTTAACATTGAAACTAAACATTATATTTCAAAAATTGTGAAGACAATTGGTGTAGTAAATCAACAGAGGTTCAGTTTTCTTGTAGCAGTACAAAAAGTAGAGACAGATCATTTTGATCTCATTTAAGGACTATATTTAGGTATAAAAATAGCCTTGGTCAGTTTTGCCTCTGTTTCTGCAAGGCGACTCATACTCCAGGAACACAGCCTTCTGAGTCTCGCCCGCAAGCTTGGACAGTTCTCAGGGTCCCTCCCTTCTAGTGCCCTGGCTTCCTGCTCTGCACTCCATGAACCCTGTGCTCCTAAAACCTCTGCTCAGTGCTTTACACTCCTACTCTTACCTTCTACTGTATTTCTTGGGCTCTCATCTTGGAGATCAAAAAATGCCTTGAAGGGATATTGCATCATATTTGGAGCCTCACTTCTCTGTGGTCTTCCTCTCTCCAGGGTTTGTTTCTCAAACTCCAGCTTCTCTAGTAGCCACAAACACCAAATCCTTTATCTCCTCAGCAGAGAAATCACTGCCTTCTACAGAGACTTCACTCTTCCTTCTCTCCATTCTTTCCCACGCGCCTCCATATCCCCAGACGACACGGTCACCCAATGAATTGTCAAACGTCCTCAGGAAGAAGCACCCAAGGTGAGTGTGGAACTTGTTTCCTTGTCCTCCGCTTCTGGGAATTGTGTCCTCTGAAGTCTTGCCTGTGCTGACTGTTCTCCAGAGACTCAAATGACGGTGTTGGGGCTTCTGTCCAGATTTCATGGTCACTTTTGGTGGAAAGGTTAGTGTGATACAAACTTCTTAGTCACAACAATAACCAGAGAAATTATTTTCTTTGCTTCAATCGCATCTAAATTCCACGTGGTCTCACTTCCTTCACTTGCTGAACATGATCTTGTAGCAAAAATGCAGAGACAAGTGAGAGGCTTGTGGGTACAGGGACCAGCATAAACACAAGTTTGGGGTACAGACCTTCCCTTCTTTTTATTGCAAGCAGCTCTAGATTCCCAAAGAGAAGGAGAAGCAGTGGAGTCCTGCTTACAGTAAAATCAGAGGTAACACTAGAACCACAGGGAACAAATTTAGGCTTTTTTTCTGTATAGGAGAAGCTCAGAAATTGTAGGTCACCAAAAATATTTACACAAGAGGTATATAGTCACTTGGACTAGTTTTCCTTGAACTCCCTCCTAGATCCTAAATGAAAGGTCACTTTAATATTGAAATGTCTTTACCAATTCAACGACTTGATCTGCAGATAAAGAAAATGAAGGTTGGGAATCAGGGGTGGCAGGTGGAGGATAATGGCTTCATTGGTAAAAAAAAAAAAAATTCCTATTCACCACCCTTTTCACTAGTTGCTTTTTTGTTACCAACTAATCCTATATTTCTGTCTTTAGGGCTTTTCAATTATTTTCCCATCAATAATTTAGGAAGTCTCAATCATTTGCCAGTTAAAGTTTCCTTAACATACATAAAACTTGGGATGCGTGGGTGGCTCAGTGGTCCGGCGTCTGCCTTTGGCCCAGGGCATGATCCTGGAGTCCTGGGATCGAGTCCCACATCAGGCTCCCTGCATGGAGCCTGCTTCTCCCTCTGCCTGTGCCTCTACCTCTGTGTGTGTGTGTGTGTGTGTGTGTCTCATGAATAAATAAATAAAATCTTTTTAAAAAATACATAAAACTCTATGAACAGTAAGAGAACAGAACAATATCCCAATAGGAAAATAAACAAAAGGATATAGACAACATGCAGGAAAGATTCTTAAACATATGGAAAGAGCACCAATTCATTCATAAAAGATAAAGGTACAATAAGCCTATAATGGAATTTCATCTTTAACCCATCAGAGTGACAAAGATCAAGCAGTTTGATAAGCACTGTGTGGCTGAGGATGGTGAAATGGCTTCTCTCGTGCTTGTTTGTGGAAGAATAAATTTCACAGGTTCTATACAGCACAATTAGGCAACTTTGATCAAAATTTAGAAGACATACACCCTGCAACCCAGCAATCCAACTTCTAAGGTCCTCAGTCTAGAGATATTCTCACACATGTGGGAAATGATGAAAATATAAGATTATTCATTACAGTATTTTTTTAAGATTTATTTATTTATTTGTTCATGAGAGACACACACAGACAGGCAGAGACACAGGCAGGGGGAGGAGCAGGCTCCATGCAGGGAGCCGGGTGTGGGACTCGACCCGGTTCTCCAGGATCAGGCCCTGGGCTGAAGGTGGCGCCAAACCACTGAGCCACCCGGGCTGCCCTATTTATTACAGTATTGCAGCAATAGCAAAATGTTGAGAAAAAATGTCAGTTCCTATTAATAGCAGACTACTTAAATAAGCTACAGTTCAGTCATACAATGGAATACTGTCTTTGATCTTATAAAATGTGAAGTAGCTCAGGGATATGTAATGTCATATAATATCTCCAAGGTATATTTCAGGACCTATTATTATTTTTGAAGTATAGTTGACATCCAAGATATACCTGCTGAGTGAAGAAAGCAAGTTGAGTAGCTGAGTGTAACTACCTTTCATGTAAATGTATAAACTACCTCCTAAAGGAGATCCAGAAACTAATAACAGGGGTTGCTTCAGGTGAGGAGAATGAAACTGGACCACTTTCCAACACCATGCACAAAAAGTAAACTCATCATGGGTTAAAGACCTAAATTTGAAACCTGAAGCCATAAATATCCTAAAAGAAAACATAAGCAGTAATTTCTTTGACATCAGTCATTACTAACAATTTTCTAGATATGTCTCCTGAGGCAAGAGAAACAAAAATAAACTATTGGGACTATGTCTAAATAAAAAGCTTTTGCACAGTGAAGGAAACCATCAATAAGACAAAAAAATAACCTACAGACATACAGATGGCCAACAGACACATGAAAAGATGCTCAATATCACTAATCATCAGGGAAATGCAAATTAAAACCATAATGAGATATCACCTTAGGTCCATCCATTGATATCACCTTAGATTTGTCAGAACAGCTAAAACAAAAAAAAAGATAAGAAATAACAAAGATTGGTGAGGATGTCGAGAAAAAGTAACCCTTGTGCACCATTGGTGGCCATGTAAATTGATATGACCAATTTGGAAAACAGTATGAGGGTTCCTCAAAAAGTTAATAATAGAAATACCATAGAATCCAATAATTCTAGTACTGGGTATTTACCCCAAAAACACTAATTCAAAAGATATATGTACCCTCCAGTGTTAATTGCAGCATTATTTATGATAGCCAAGATATTGGAAGCAGCTTAAGTGTCTGTCAATAAATGAATGGATCAAGAAGATGGGGGGTGTATATTATATATAATGGCTAATTATATTAGCCATAAAAAAGGATGAGATCTTGCCATTTGTGACAATGGATGGACCTAAAGGGTATTACGCTATGTGAAATAAGTCAGACAGAGAAAATCAAATACCATATGATTTCACTTATGTGTGGAAGCTAAAAAGCAAAACACATGAATAGACAAAAAGCAGAATCAAATCTATGAATACAGAGAACAAACTGATGATGGCCAGAAGGGAGAAGAGTAGCAGGATGGGCAAAACGGGTGAAGGAGAGTGGAAGATACAGGCTTCCAATATGGAATGAGTAAGTGATGGAAATAAAAGGCACACAATAGGGAATATAGTCAATGATGTTATCATAGTGCTGTATAATGACACGACAGCTACACCTACGGTGAGCATAGCATAACGTATTATTTGACAAGCACTGACTACCCTATGAAATCACTGAATCGCTGTATTATACACCTGA